TCTTTTGAATAAATTAGCATTAATATTGGGCCAATACTGTTGAAATAAGCTATGACCAAAAGATGATGTGGACAAAAATCTAAAAGATGAAGAGCTACTAAAACCAGCATCATAAGCAGAAGAGGGGCTAAAATCATTAATTGCAGTGTTGTTGCCACAGGTCTTATAGTAAGATGACTGACTGTTCTATAACCTGCAATAACAAGAGCTTTGTAAAAAAACCATGAGAATGGGCATAAAGATGTCTTGAAGTTTTGCAGCAATCTGGTATTCAGCACCAGCCTCTTTAAAAGAAAGTATCTTGTATACCTTTTTGGTTATATTAGGTTCTGTTTAGATTCTAGTGATGCCTGAGAAACTAAAGCTAATCTGGTTAAATTTAAAAGTTTAAAATACTACAATACCTCTTTGTTATTTTATGAGGTGGCCAGGAAGGAGTTAGTACCTCTTCTGCTTGGAAGAATAAAGATGTGAAGGCTTTATGTGGAGCTCTAACTCAGTGCTTTGACTTACCATCAGACTGTTCAATAATCTGCCAAAAGTCTTATTTCAATAAAACAGTTGACTTTGGAGAGATGGGGCAAGCTTAGCTTTGTTTTCCTTATGCTTCATATTGAGGCTAACAATTTTTACATATACCTGAGATTTTTTTAACGGGTTCAATCGTTGTGTTAACTCAGGGGTTATTGGAACTGCAGAACCAGGGTGTTTGTATATCAAAGTTACAAAATAAATGAAACATTGTTTTTAGTATAAGGCTGTATAGTTTAACATTAAACTTAGAACTCTTTACTTCTACTGCACAAATTTTAGTTGTGTAGGTATCCATAAGACAAAATATTTGAGGGTGTTTCAGTGATAGAAGTGTGAGGAGTAAGTGCTCACCTGACGTGTCAGTTCTTGAAGTGGTTACTCATGTAATATTGTCTTTGTGTTCACTTGGAAGGCTATTTTTTTGGCAGGGTACTTGTTTACTAGATAGCCATTATAGTAATTCATGTTTGATGTTTTAATCCTGCTTCTATGGAAAGTCAGCCAATTCCTACACTTCTATTGTAAGGCTTCAAACAAAGCTGCATATAAAGCATGGGATTTAAAGCAATGCTGTGTTACAAATTATGGATGTAACAATAGGAAAAGACTGTTGTGACTGTGTTTCAGGTGATGTTTACGATTACCAGTGTTTCACACTGGAGTAATGATGGGAAGGGCAAAAATGTTGGTGTAAAAGCACTTGGCAACAGAGTAGGACTTTCAGTCTCTGTGTTCTGTGTTCTTGGGCTCATGCTGAGACTGAAATCTTTTCAGTAAGTCTGAAGACAATTTCCTTATTTCAGTTTTAAGAAACACTGATCTATTAACAGAGGCTAAATGAATGAATAAGGGGCTTGAAAACCTTACCTTTTCACAAAACCTCCAGGATCTGGGAGTACACCATAAGCAGCCCCCCTTGTGCTGCTTACACTTGTCAGATTTGTGTTGCTGTACCAGATTTGTGTTGTTGTAGTAAAGAACTTCATATGCAACTTCTTTCACTCACTTCAGATGCTCTGTTCAGAAGTTCTGTGGATCTTCTTGTTGCTCAGTTTATTTTGTCCCAAAGGTAATGGTTGTGCTTTTCAAATCATAGTTTACCTTGTAATCCTCACCAGTGTTGATGTTCACACTCAGAAATTGCAAAATCTTAACAGACTTTTCACTCTCTGAGAACTTGAAAAGTATGAAGGCAGAAGTCAGTCTTTTGTTGTGACTTACAGCTCTAGATGCTGATGTTGACTGTTCCCATGTCCAGAATATTGAGATTCTCACTTACAAAATGCATTCAGGGTCTGTCATATAAGTATATATATGCATAGCTGAACGTGACATAACTTTCAGTGTTGAAGAGATCACAAAATGTAGTCTTAATCAAGTGTTTATGTCTGGAATTAAGACCTGTATGCTGTTACTGAACAATATAAACATTAGGAATTGGGAAAAAAGTTCCTGTCATTTTCTGTGTGTAATCCTGGGAATGTCACTTTGGAAGATAAACTAAGCGGTTAACAAGCCTTAGTAGTATAGAAATGAAAGCTGAAATATTCAGAAAAATATTCCAAACAAAAATTGAAACATTTTTGCAAAAGTGAGCCTCTAAATATTGGCCGGGAAAGCAAAACCTTGAACTTCCTTAAAATACATGAGTATGTACTTAACTCAGTCCTTCCCTTCAAAGGAGCAGCAGGCCACAGTTGCTGCTTTACAAGGCCTTTCTGCTGCTTTACAAGGCCTTCTGTGACAAGTAATGTTGTTCTGTGTCCAGAAGTATTTCATCCTCTGAGATGAGTTTTTGGAATAGTTCACAGCAAAAGTAATTGATCCATTTCAGGAGCTGGTGAGTTTTTTGTGAGCTTTGAGCAAACTACAGTTCCTTACTGGATAATCTCAGGAGGTGGTTACAAGAATAAATTCTTTCTAGATTATAATTTCAAATCAATTACAGAGAACACTGCTTGTTGAAAAAAATCTTTATTTCTGCAATGTGATGCAGCAATAATACCTGCATTAACTTAGTCTATTAAAATCAGTGTGCTTCTGTACAAATAGAAGGAGCATTCTTACTCCATGTACGTGATGCTGTGTTCCAAGTCTGTCCTGTATAAAAAGTAAATATTGTAAAAATGTTATACATCCTTGCTCAACAATTCTTCTGATGTGTTCCCTTTCTTGCCTACCTTCCCTCTCCCCCCAAGAATTATTTATTGAGCCTGAAATCTTGCTCACCACTCTTTGCAAAGTGACTTTTTTCACAATGATACTCATGATAATTTCATCTATGAAATGCCATGGTCTCTTTGTGTCATGGTTTGCTTAAACTCTGAATTTACTGAAAGGCCAAAATTGAAGCAGTGGGTGTTCTTAGTGCTTTTATGACAAGAATCAAGAATTTACAATGTCTGTATTACTGATTTTTTCCCAAAGATACAGAATCACATAATTGCTTTCTGAAGTTCCATTTTCATCCATCCCACATTCAAATCCTGAATTTGTTAGGGGCTTATTTCTTCTGAAGGAGATGAGTGGGTTTGATTCCTAGGAAGGAATCATGTTGAGGAAGAGGAATAGGCCACTGGCATGTGTTGCACCTTTAGGTGATGTGAAGTGAAAGAAGCCTTTTCATTTTCTGCACTGTGATTTTCAATCCTTCTTTATGTCCATTTGTTGTTCTCTGGTAATAAAGGATTAATTTCCTTCTTCTGCAGCTTTTTAGGGTTTGTGACTGACTTTTGTTTCAAAATGAAGCTTACCACTACTTCTGCTGAGTATGGTATATACTGCATCCAATACTGCATCCACTCATGTTCTTAAAGCTGTGACAATGTATTTGTGGTAGGAGTAGGTAGGGGAGGAAAAGAATAATTTTGGTTAGATAACATATTTCAAAACCCTGTCTTCTATTTTGCCTGTATCAAGCTCATTGCTTCAGTTAGATCTTCTCTGAAGTCACAGCAGCTACTTACAGTAAAACAGATGCTGTTTCACCCACAGAGGAACAAGGTGGAAGCAAATACATGTGACAAGCAGCAATTTTGAAACAGCATTTGTAGGGCAGACAAACAGGGATTTGCAGATAACACTCCAAATATGTTTCTTATTATATATATTTTTCCCTTAACCAATTAAAATATATATATATATACACAGAGAAAATATCTATATGTATATAAGTATACTTCTTGTATCATACAGTGTTTTAAAGAATGACTTAAATTTCTAAGCTATAGTGGTTGGTTTATTTTTTCTCCAAGGAGAATTCTTCAAAAATAGAGTAATTTGCATTTACCAGATGATATATGTTCAAATTCTGAGGGTATTTGTGACTTGCTCTGTGTTTCTGTATTTAAGGTTTATATAAATCTTTTGTGATTGCAACTGTTTAAAATGTAAGTCGAGCAACTGAGTTTGTACATGTATATAATACACTTATAGTTGGAAATCTGACAAGATATTTTCCCTCAAGGACATAAATGAAATTGATTATCAGAGCAGTAGTAGTTAGTAATGCACTTCTGAGGATTATACCCATGAGCAAATTTTAAAGGAATAATGCAGGTGGATGGGCAAAAACAGTTATGAGTGTATTTGCTGCTGTGTATCCTGGAGACATTTTCAGATCTTTCTCCCTTTAAAGGTGATCATCAGGCTTAATAATAATAAAAACTCACTGGGATATTAACCTTAATAGTAGTTATAGAACTCCAAATTAATACAGATAATGCTGCTTACTCTAACTAGTAATTAGACATTGTAATCTTCTACTTTGAACTAATTAAGGGCCAAAAAAAAAATCAAAACTTTGCAACAAATCAGAGTTCTAAGTCCTGACACTGCTAACAGACTTAATTTTCTTTAAGCAGTAAGGTGCTATTTCATAGTGCTGGTTTAGTGTTTGTTTCCTATTGCAAACTGTAGGAAGTGTAATAAGGCTGACATAAAAGCATAAAAGTTTGGTTTTGCTGTGTTTCTTACTGGTTTTTATGCACTTTGAAAGACTCTTTAATTATGTATAAACAAACACCTTTCTAATTTACCTCAGTAGTGTCTTACTGAAACCAAGCAAACAACAAAAAACTGTACAGGTAGCATTAATTAAATGCTCAACTGCAGCTTTTAACTGTGCTTCTGCACAAAATAGCTCAATTTAGGAGTCAAAGTTGACTATCTTGTTTATATTGTGCCCCTGATGTTACCATCAATTCCACAAACTTGGAGAAAACAGAAAAATATGTCAAAAACTCTAAGCCGTTACAGGCAAAGGTTTATGCTAGAGGTTTAGGACATTTAAATTCCAACTGGTATAAGTAGGGTATGATCCAAATAATTACTTCTATGAAGCTGTAATTTTTTCCAAGTTGTTGCAGTGTCAGGGACTGACTGCAAAGTCTTGCTGATTGTCTCTGTGAAGAGGTTGCCTAATGAGCCCCTTTCTGCAAGGACCAGATGGGTTTGTCCACGCTGACATGCTGTACTGCAAACTTTTCAATGGCCTGAGATTGTCTGTCTATTAAAACTGGCTGTGAGAGATGTGGCAGGCCTATCCAGCTCTCCCTAGGAGGCTTGTGTCTGATATTAATAAGATGGAAGGAAAAGTGCTAGGCTGTTTAGAGTGTGAAGTTCTCCTGTTGTGTGGTAATACTGGGATTTCTTGGCTGCCAGTCAGGAATTGTAGCTTTAGACTGAAAGTGCAAAATGTTCCTGTAAAGTAGAGAAAGCACTGACAAACAGGGAGATTGCAGTTTTAGAATGTGTAACAACCATGGAAAAATTGCATGGTTTTTTTTTCCTATTCCAGTAGAGAGCAGTGAATCTCATGTTAGCGTGCTTTTTTTTTTGTTTGTTTTAGGTTTTTATACTAGTTAACATAAGAGATGCTTGCTAATCTTTCTAAAAAATGTTCTCTGTTTTCATTGCAAGGTATTCTCTGTTTTATAACCACTTGAAGAACATTGAGGAAAGTGAAGGTGGCCTTGATAAATTTACCAAAAGTTACAAATCCTTTGGAGTGAACCAGCTTGCAGATGGTGGAATATACTGCAAAGAGTGGGCACCCGGAGCAGAAGCAGTGTTTCTCGCAGGTGACTTCAGTAAGTATTCTTAGGAAAATTTCTTCTCCCCTGCACAATGTTTTATATAATTATTCTCTTCTTTTAAAGAAATTTTTGTCACAATGGTGAAATTCTGATAGTAAAAAAAGTATGTCATGGCTTAACTGAATAATATTTTCCTCTGTGTTGCAGTAGCTCATAAAGATGTTTCTGTTGCGTGGTCAGTGTTATACATTTTTTTTAATATCCCAAAGGCAATGACTCATGTCACATTGGTTTGCACTGCAACTCAAGGCTGTATCTAAACTTCCTGAAGTTGTTTTTAAAGCTTTATAACTAGACTTTTATAAAACTGTATGTAGAGAAGCAAAAATAACACTCAAATAATTTACTTCTTCTTTTTACTGATCAAGCAACAGTGTTGTTAAGGACCAAGGCCCTTGAGAATTCCCTCCCATCCTGAGAGCTTAGACAAAAGTTCTCCTGAAAAATGGTAGCCTAAAATCCAACTAAATATTACTAAAAGAGTAGCGGCTCTGTGTTTGTGAGGGCAGAAGAAGGGAAGGTGTTAGCAGAATGGGAAGGTGGCAGTATTACGTGGAGGAATTGTATTGCTTCCTCTGAGAACCTCTATTCCCTTTGAAATTGGAACAAAAATATAAATTTCCTTCTTAATTGAAGGCTAGCTACGTTCAAATGATGTTCTGAAACTTTTAGATGAAAGTGACATTAATCGTTGCTCTTCAGTCCTGCAATACTTGCTCTCCTTTTTGTTTAGGGTTTCAGAGAGTTTTGTTCTTTTTTTGCTTTTCACCTCTACTCTCTCTTCAGTTAGGTCTGCTCAAGTCCTGAACAAGGACTGTGTGTGAAATTACTTTGTTCATTTAACTGCATTTCAGAAGCCTGTAGTTTTATTTATCTGACTTTGATTTTGCAAAAATACTGATCTCTAGGGTGTTTATGTTGCAAAGAAGCAATATGAAGAAAAGTCCTTTGAAGCAATTAACTACTTTTTTTAAACACAAAGCCAAATGTTGGCCATACCTTACCCCCGTCTTAGGAAGCTACTGAAATGAAACTCTCTTTATTTTAGCCAAGTTTTTATTTTAAAAAAATTCCTGGTTTTGATGCAGAAGAACAGAAAAGGGAGTGCAACATTGTTTTCAGCCATGATCCTGCTTGATATGACTAACATAGTGAATGATAAAGTAGCTTTTCTTCAAGTGCTGCTCGTCATTTTATTGGAATAGACATTGATAAATAGGTAAGTGTAGTTCTTGCATTTTAATATTGAAATTGGATATGTCCTCTAACACTGAATAATGAGTCATGTATAGTTCACCTACTAGATAGATCATAGTGATTTCAGGTATCAATATAGACTGCAAGGCAGCTAGATCAGGTTATTTTCATAGGTCAATTTTATATGTATAAACATGCAGAAAATTCTCCTCCTTGCCTCTCCTCTACTTGCAACCCCACCCATTGCTCAAGGTTTTCATGGGATGGGTGCAGGTTAAATGTCTCAACTCAGCTAAAGACCAGAATGCATTTGTTTTAAATATGTGTTTTAAAAGATGTTAACATTAAAACCAGGTTTTTAATAATATGTTTAACATTTTGAAAAGAGGCTATAGCTTGTAAATTGTCTTATCAGGTTTGGGGAGGAGTATATGTATAGCAGAATAGGATAGCTTAACACTGGAATAGTTTTCTAAACCCTACTTTATTTAAAACATTTGATGTAATACACCCTATAAAGCAGAAATTTAGGATTAATATCTTAGAGTAGTTGTACCTAGACACTAATGAATGCAGCAATATGAAGAGGAAATAAATTAAAGGAACTTCATTGTAATGTGGAAAAACTATGTTTCTCTATATATCAGTCAGTCATAGTGAAGTATTCATTCCCAAAGGAGACAATAGTGTACTTGGAGGGACTGGAGGCATGGAAGGTTGTCATTCAATTCATATGATCTTGAATAATATTCTCATGAGAAATTGGATTGCAAAACCCGAAGATTTAGAGTCAGATTGCTACAGATATGCTTAATTAAAACTGAATCCCTTTAACCTTTCTTTAAGTTTTCAAGCAGGTTAAAGTCTCAGACTAAATTTATGATTATATTGTGTTTAAATTGGATATAGGGATTGCTTTTAAAAATATTTTTTTTAAATAAAACTTTTTTTATAAAAAGAACCATAGCATAACCACATCAGGGGAAGTTGGAAATCTTAAAGAAACACTGAATTTAGGAGACAGAAGCTCTTTAGGTTTTAAACTGAAATATGGTGGTATATAATATAAATAACTGTCAATTTATGCTTTTTGTTTTGAAATGAATAGCAGTGTTTTCCTTAATAATATATTTTCTGAGAATAGCTTAATGTTTGATGTAAAGACAAATTGTTAGTCTCTGCTATTTCATCTTAAGGTATTTGAGGATCAAAAACTAGTAAGAATTAAAATGGCACATATAGGTTTTGTAGAGAGACCTTGAACTTTTTTTTCCCAGATTTATAATTAAGCTTATAGTTGATAATATCTTAGTTATGAGTTATATGTAAGAGGAACATGAATTATTTACTTCTATAATTATATACATGTGAAGCCTTAGTCCTGTACATGTAAAGTTTTTTCTGAATGACTTTTATGCCTTAAAGCAGACAGTAAATCTTTGCTATTAAGGTATTTTGACCCAAATTATGGGATTTTTATACCTTATTCTGAGACACTTGTAATGAATGGGATAGCTCTAATTTATAGAAAAATTCTTAACATCAGTGTGCATTTTGAAAAAAATAACAAAAGCTTGAAACAAGTAATAGTACACAAATCTGTAAGTGGATTAGAGAATGAAACATGAATTCAAGAAAATCCCAATGCTTTCAGAGCTGTTTTTGTCTCTTTAAAACTCCATAATTGGAGAGAAATGTATTGTATCTGTTGGTGTTCTACTATGAAGCTTTATCTAAGAAGTATTAAATGAGCATCCAAAAACATTAAGATTTGTCAATTAGTACTTTCAGCATCTCAGTAAATCAAGTGTACGAGACAATTACTCAGCTGAATTTCCAACACTAGAGGCTCTGTCAACATTATAGCTCCTTCAAAAGCTCTCAGTGATAACACTGAATATTTCATTTGTGTGCCCTATTGCTGAGGAGCCCAGTGACTACTGGCAATTTATTGCTGCTTTAAAATTGACTATTTCAAAATAAGTCACTGTGAGTGACTGTGAGTTTTGAGAGTAACCCATGGAATTTATTTGGGAATTGGAACACTCAGCATTTGTATTTGGTCATGTCATGTGAAGGCTCAGTGGGTTATCTGTAAACAATTCCTTAATTTTAAAAAGAATGATACTGGTTTTAAAAGCTTAAGAGTAAGTATGCATATATTAATTTGGAAGTCAGCATTTGATATAATACATGGTTATTTTTGTGGTTTCTGTTCTTTTAGTTGTTTTCTCTTCCCTTCTTCCCAGCTAATGTTGATCTAAAATGTTGATCAGTCTGGAATGTGTGGTTTGTTTTTTGCTTCCTTTTCCTTGCACTGGTGGGGAAGGCTTCTGCTGAGGTTGGAGGAGGGTAAGATAGTTGGTTCTGGGAGGATATTTGTCTATTATTTAAATTCTGACAGGACCCCTTCGGAGTGAACAGAGAGTACCTTAAGGCACTTAATTTGAGTATCTGACAGCTGACTAAAAACTTCTATCAGAATGTTTTGAGGTTTTTTTATTTGAAATTTTTACTAAAATGGATTCTAGATACTGTCATGATATCATGCTGAATTTCTTACTGCTTCCTTTCAAGTTTTTTTATAGAGAAGTATCTTCATTTGATGAGTAAAGTCAAACAGTGTTATATTTCTGTGGGTGCAGATGATTGAAAGCAGTAGACTGTAATATAAGGTGCCACCAATATACAGGGAAACATCCTATCTAAGTCGTAATGACACTTGTTTTTATATCAGTGTTTGAGCTATTTGCCCAATTTCCAACAGCTCAAGCACAAGATCATTTATGTTATCTGCTTTAAAAATGATTAATGTGAGGAGAGGAAGACCTAATTGGCCACAGAATAGAACAGAATAGTGTCCTTGTAGGATCTCTCCAGTTATGTCCTGATTTCATATTCTAATACAGTAGAATACAGGTATCTTGTTGGGTTACTGGGATTCTGATGCTCTTTCCCTTGTCTGAACTGCTGCTTGTCTGATAGACTTTCTTCAAGAATGCTTTGTGTTTGCTGAAACCTCTACTGTCTTTAGATGTCTTTAATTGATCAGAAAGTATGTGGAAATACAATTGCTGTAAGAGATTTGATTTCACTTGAGAATTCAGCTTTACTTTATAAAGTTTTTTGACTTCTGGGAAAAAACAGCTACAGTTCTTATCTAGGACAAAGTCAATTATTTGATTAATATGTGAGAGCAACTCCTTTCCTCTGTGAGAAGTGCTAATTTCTTATGTGAAACTCCAAGTTCAGGCATGAGCCTCAGAGGTGTATGGATGTATCCTTGTCAATGTGAAAACAAAATCAGGAGACTGAACAAGAAGTCACTCAAATTGTCATTTAGCTGGAAATATGCATTTAAATTGATTTTTTGTCACAAATGGTAGAACCCAAACCTTTATAGCTTTGAATTCTGTCTACATTACACCTCAGTTCATGATTCTTTGGCTGCTAAGGGTGTAGTTTTGAGCAAGAAGTTCCCTTGTGCCTCCTGTTGTTGAGGTAGGATGTAGTGTTTTAATAATTGCCTGGGATTGGAAGATCCACTCACAGAGATGAGACAGAACAAAGTATCAGGCTATCAAAGATGCCTTCTGTGTTGGATTAAGCAATAGCTGAGGCTTGAACTTTTGTACAAAAGCTTTTGTCTTTGTTTATGGCTTATGAGTATTCTGTGATGGTGTCCTTTTTCCCCAATACCTGTTCAAGCTGATTGTTTGAACTTCTGCTGGTAATCTCCTCAGCTTTTTCCTGTTTGTAGTTGTTGGCAGAATCTTTGAAGTCTGTTCTCAAACTAAGATATTTCTTTTGACTTTTAGTTTTTCATCTTCATAATACTCTACTAATCACTTGTTGGTTAGTTGAGGTTTTTTTTTTTTCTTCTTTCCTCAGGCATTTTGGGCTAAGTTTTGCTGAAAAATCAGAAAACCAAGCAGTAAAACTGAGATAAGCATGAGCCACTCTGTCTTTGAAAGGAATATTCAGTTTTCAGGGTGTTCTTTATGCCTCTGGCATTAATACAAAGCAATGTTTTCTGTTATAATCTTTCTAAGTGAGCCCCTCTCCAGGGGTAATTAGTAAACAGTGGGTTTAAGTAGGACCATCTGGGGCAGATGGGTATTGCTTTGCGTTTATTTTTAAATCATGAGCCACAGGCTTGCAGTCATGGACTGTGGCTGGGAACAGGAGGGATTAACAGGAGCATCTGGCATTGCTGGCAGGTGAAGGGGAAAGTTCAGGCAACTTTGGCAGAGTTATCAAATCTGTCTGTGGAGAGCAGAAATATTTAAATAAGTAGAGAGATGTAACCATGCCCTCTCTGGAGAAGGGAAGACATGGTTTTAGTAGAGGTCAGAGAATCTTTTTTAATACTCCGAGAATGCAGTGGTTTTGGTCAACGTGATTAATTCCATGTAGGTTTCTCTGGGTGAGTTTTATAAAAATTGGGCCTAAGACTTTTTTTGCTGTAACTTTTAATTTTCCTCAGTATTTATCACCTGCCATATGTGGTTCAATTTGTGTGAATCAAGATGTAGCTCTGTTGGAAAGAGTTTGATGAGAAGCCATGAAGATGGTCAAATATCTCGGGGCAGAAGATGGAAAGAATTTAGACTAAGTCCCCCAAGTTGAGTCTGGGCTATCATAAATCCTAACCTGTTCTTAAAGCAAACTTCTTGCAACTTCTTAACATCTTTCTTCTGTTTTCTCATTTGTGCCTGGAATGTTTATTTGAGATAATCTAGCTGCTTATAATTAAAAAAAAAAACAACTTCTTTTCAAGGGCTGTTTTCTACATCTTTTTCACCATGCCCTGAAATAAAAAATACATCTATATTTTACTTTACAAACACTATAGTTTGCTGTATAAACACTTATAGTTTAGACATTTTATTAAGGAGTATTGCTTAATTGTCAAGGTGTTGGTTGTTTGATGTTAGTCCTGGTAGATATTAGTGGTATTTGTTTAATTACTTTTCTTGATTGAAAATTCAGCGTAAAGCCAAGGGAGAGGAACCATTCTAATTCTTACTAATATGTAAGTTCTTATGCTGTTAAGCAATAGTTTAGTAAATACTTTCCCTCTGTTAATACATATAATTTAGCTCCACTATCCAAATACTTTAAATGTGATAAAAACACCGTCTAAATAGAATACTGAATTAATTGCGTTTCTGATTTACTCTCCACTGTAAAATAAGTAGGTACCAGAATGTTTGTGTGGCATGGTTATTTTTGTCCCATTGCATGGCCTTGTTTAATTTGTGTCTTTCAATGCTCTTTAACTAAAGATTGGCAGTTCTTGGGTTCAAACAGCTGTGCAAATGCAGCCAGTAACTTTGACACAGTCTGGTCTTTCTCTGAAATGCAACACATGCATACATTGCCAGGAAGGATTATCCTTTTGTTGCACAGCACATAATATTTGTGATTATTGATGATTAGGAAAATACATATGTTGATGGATAGACCCTCTTCATTTCTCTACTGCCCCTGCTGTGATTTCCATGGTGGCAAAAGTGATGATCCTGCTTCAGTGTAACTGTCCATTTATTTAATTGAAATGCTTTTAACCTGACATATTTAGTAGCAATGTTGTTTTCTACAACACTGAGTTAATATTCTTAAACTGAATGCTGCTTATCCTTCTTTCAATTATGTGTGAGTTTTGATTTGTTGTTTTTTCTGGGTTAGGTTTTTTGGTTTCTTTTTTTTTTATTACATGAAACCATGGCATGCAAATAGATGAGGATCTATTTGCATGAAGGAAGATTAGCATGTGTTACTTTAAAGCTTTGTAATTCAGTTTGCTTTGTTTGCTGGCTCCTATTTAGCTTGAGTCTGTTGCCTTGAACTATGTGAAACAGACATTACAAGGCAAAAAGAAAAAAGGAATTTTCCAACTTATCTTTTTATTTCCTTCTATCCTAGAAATGACTCCATCGTTGAAATGTGTCAGTTCAGAAGTGATATCTTCCCTCCATTCAGAGGAGTTAACCTTGAATGTGCTTACAAACACTCCAGACCCCCTTGGCAGGTGTCTGTTCAGTTGGACAGGCCACAATGACCATCCTTGCACGTATCCAGTGCTCAGTAAATCAAAGAGGACAGAGTCTTGAATTATGGGATTTCAGCTTGCTTCAGATATTTTTTTAATGACAAAAGAATCTTCCTGAAGACTTAAATCTGTGGCTTTTCATTTTATCATTTGAGTGTGTGTCCAGTATCAGGCATAAAAGTATTTGTGTATGCTCTCACTGAAGTTCGTTTTGAGAAAGATGGAACTCAGAGTTGCACCTTTGTGTTGTAACTGGATGCATTTTAAGATGAACACTTAGTATTATTTCTTATATTGCAGATGGCTGGAATCCATCTTCTCATCCATATAAGAAGTTGGAATATGGCAAGTGGGAGTTGTTCATTCCACCTGAAGATGGCCAATCTCCTGTGCCCCATGGGTCAAAGCTAAAGGTGCTTGCTCTAGACTTACTCTAACTCTTGCAACCCTTCTTACTCACTTACTGTCCATTTTGTTTCCCTGTAACTAACTTTATCATCTTCTGATTGTTCTAAGAAGCAGAATCAGTTTATCTAGTTGAGCAAAGTGACCTAAAGGAGTGAAAGAATCACAAAGAGAGATTTTGGCAACAGGCGTATGTGGCTGAAATGCAATTGTAGGGTATTTCATCATGCCATAAGAGTAAAACAGTTTACAAATTGATAATCTGAAAAAGAAGAATTAAGTGATATATAGGTAAAATCTTTCTGTATTTGATGCAACTACCTGTTATTAAGATCCTGTAAAAATCTCAATAACCTGGTAATTTTTGCAATACTTTTAACCATGGCTTTTCAGGTGATTTTTTTGTTGCTTTCAATGGTACATGCAGATTTGTAAAACTTCTACTTACCCTTTAGGAATTCAGAGTATTGAGTGGAAGGCTTAAGTAAGTGAAACTGAACACAATTGTATTTCATGCGCATCCATGAGCTTAAAATACTTTGTTCCAGAAATTACTGAAAACTTTTTTTGAGCTGTTAAATGCCACAGTTGTATGCTTAGTGCAAATACACCTAATGACAACTAACTCAGAGCAGAGTTGATGATTTCTAGGTGAATATTGATTTAAATCAGGGATGCACTTTGTTGCACTCAGAGCTTGAGTTTCAGAGATACTGGGTGCTAATAGAGGGCAGTAATAAGTAGTAAAGGAAAGAAATGGACTGAAATTACCTAAAGACTAGGAAAATTAAGAACCTGGAAGCATTTGTATAATACTACTACATTTTCAGAGGTCCCATCAACAGAATTGAAATACTGAAAAAAAAAATCCTTATTTTTCTCCTGAAAATCTGTTTAGGCAAACAAGACATCTGGTAAAACAAAGATATGTGTAAAAATGCTCTGGAAGTGCTTAGTCAGTGTGTGTGCTTATCTCTGTGCTTTTTGTTATGGCTTATGAAATAATCCCAGTAATAAATAAGGGTAAATTGAAGTTAAGGAGTAGTCATTCAAGGACGAGAAAGCTGTTTTCATTTTACAGAGCAGGAAAGAAAATACTTGTCTGCAACTCAGAAATGCAGTGATTATGCAGCAAGGTATGAGAGTGCAAAATGGTTATTTAATATTTTCCATGGTCTTGAGATGCAAGTAGGTTCGATTTTTTGATTGTTGCTGAATTTACCTTCCCTGTTGTATCCACAAAACTCTTTACTCATCTACTGTAGAATATTCTATGCTTTTTGTAAAGATTAGAGGTGTGAATGATTGAGTATTGGTGGTTTTTAACACAATAGCAAAAAAAGCGTAGAATCTTAAATGCTTTTGGAGCAATAGAAGATGGTTTTTTTTTTTTTCTCTTGGATAATCACTGGTCATATCTCCTTATTTTGAAGTAAGGTCTTAATAGGTTTTTTTTTCCTGTTCAGCATTTTCTTTCAAATATAAACTCCATAAAGCAAAGATTGCATTATACATAATTTTTTTAGTATGTGGAATTGCTATGAGTTGCACTTGGTAATGATTTACTTTCAAGATGAATTGCTGTACTTCT